GTTGTTCCTTGTGATTAAGCCCTTATCTCAATGGTTGGCAAACTCATTAGTCAACAGAGCTGCAAACCTCAGCTCACGAGCCACAGTTTGCCGACCACTGCATTAGGGTGTTGATCTAGTGGTGGGCTGGATCGAGGTCAGCAAGCACTCATTAAGTGCTTACCTCCAGTGCACCTTCAACCCATCTGCAAAATGCAAAAAATGTGTTCACGGACAACGTAGGCAAGTCATTCAATTAATTCATACTTAGTCACATGCCTTTGAAGAGCACAAAGCAAAGTGGAGTCTTAAAGTTGGGGAACACGAGCCCTGAACGGAGTCCCACACCCCAAAGCAGCTGGGAACCTCATCAGTCATCTCTCCAGCCCCCATTACATAGATCTGAGGAGCCCAGAGAGGTTATGTCACGTGGCGGTGGCACAGTGTGGCCGATGTGACGGGTCTCCTACGCCCAGGAAAATGTTCTTTCCCCTGGCTTCCTCCTGGCACGATGGTTCGCAGAAGAGAGATGCAGTGGCCAGCAGCATGAAGGCACTTCTAGAGATGGATGTCAGGCTGAGGTCATCTGGGCTGTGACCTGAGTTTGTGGCATGGCCTCGTCCAGCCCTGTGTGGCTGCCAGAGGCCCCAGAGGAGAATGAGACTTCCAGGAGTGACCAGGGGCCCGAGATGTGTCACACAGCCCCTTCCTAAAGAGTTTCAGGGAGAAAAGAGTCTGAGGAACATGTTGCTCAGAGCCAGTCATGGGAGAGGTAGAGAGGACATATTTTTAAAACCGTTGATGAAACCTATGAACTTACAAGCTTTTGAAGCAGCAGAGGTATTTCCATTGACGTCTAACTTTATGAACTGTAGGGAGCCAAAGCTATCCCAGCCCCTTTCGCAAATGTGTGCCTTTTTCCAAATTCTTTTAAAAGCCATCTTGTTGTTGTTGTTAGTCATTGCAAAATGATATAGGTTATTGACATCTTGAAAAGCATAAGAAAAAATTTGTTTAATTCTTTATTTTTAATGAATTTATTTATTTAATTAATCCTACCAACAAGAGATCTCCATGGTTAATATTTTGATGTATCCTTCCAGTATTTTTTCTCTGCATAATATATTTTCACAAACATATGGATTCATTATTTTGAAAACAGATTTTAATATACCATGAGCCATTCTACTCCACAGTGTGGAAAATATAATAACTTGTTTAATCTCTTACTTCTTGTTGACATTTACTATAAATTGTTCTCCATCCTATATAATAAAAGGCCAGAGGCCATATGCATCACAACTGGAATGACCACTCGACCAGTCACCATGAGGTGCATTGACTGCCTCTCCGTCCCTCCCCTGCGGGCCACAGGCTTCCATCGCAGCAAGGGGCTCGGTCCCTGCCGCCATGGTGGCAGCCGCCTCAGCCCTCACAGCCCTGGCTTCATCCAGAAGGATGGAAGGACGTCCGGTCTAATTAGCATATTATGCTTATATTATTATAGATATATGTATATGTACACACACACACACACACACATATTTATATAAACTTTTGGAACTTGCATGTAGATAGGTAGATAGATAGATATTGATTGGTTGATACTAATCATTGAAGATTCTTATTAATTTTAACCAATTTGGGTTCACTAAAGAGATAAGAATGTGTGATCATAGCAGATGAACATGTTTTTCCTTTAAAATAGAGTGTATTTATAGATACTATGTACTAGTTCTGTATTGGCATCCTTAATTTTCTTTTCCTTGTTAGAGATAAAATCACATCTCATTACTGTACAGAGGGGATGTAAGCCAGTTCTTACATTCGGGTCTTGATGCCCTCATTCTAATGCCACTCAGATTTCAATAAAAAACTATCAGGTTTTCCTGGCAATAGTAATGAAGCACAGCCCTGCCCTGGCATGATATCTAGTGCCCAGTTCTTACCTTTGTTCTCATCTGCTTGTCTTGCAATATTGCAAACACGGACCTCCCAAATTGACCTCTATCATCATATAATATGTACTGGTTTCTGATAACGCAGAAGCTGTGCCCGTGGAGTAGAAACACACAAATATTTCTAGCTTAGGCCTTCATAGAAGAATCGATTTTCACTTACACAGCACAGCAGTTCTGTGTGTGTGCTTAGAGGACTCTAACAAAATGAAAACTTCACAAGGACATGGCCACCTTTATTTCTTTCACACGGGGGGAAAGGTGTGGGCATCGTGTGGAAAATATAATCCGGCAAAATATAAGAAGGTCATTAATTTTCATTTAGCTATTAGCATATTTTGGGTTAACTCGGTTAAAATTAAAAAGATCATAACTGCTAAGCACTTTCTTTTTCTTGTCTTCAGTTGCATTAATTAGTGACTATATATAACAGACACCCCCTCATCCCCCAAAAAAGAGCTTGTGGTAGCTGTGACCATCATAATAGCATCTGTCCAGCCCAAAGACCAGGTTGGGTTCTGGCCTTCAGCTCACTTTATGTCAAAGGTTTAATCTTTCGAAAATGTCCTTTGGAACTATTATATAAGGTCACTAGTTAGTCTCCAGACGTGCTAACGAACACTCCCTCCTTCAAGTCATTGCCGCACAGAACTAGGCGCGCTTAGTGATCCTTCTAGTCCAGGGGTTCTCAACCTTCCCAATGCCGCGACCCTTTAATACAGCTCCCCATGTTGTGGTGACCCCAACCATAACATTATTTTTCTTGCTACTTCATAACTGTAATTTTGCTACTGTTATGAATTGTAATGTAATATCTGTGTTTTCCGATGGTCTTAGGCGACCCTGCTAGCAGTTCTCAACCTGAGAACTGCTGCTGTTCTCAGATATTATTAAAACAACAACAACAACAACACAGATATTTACATTACAATTCATAACAGTAGCCAAATTACAGTTATGAAGTAACAACGAAAATAATGTTATAGTTGGGGTCACCACAACATGGTGAGCTGTATTAAAGGGCTGCATTAGGAAGGCTGAGAACCCCTTTTCTAGTGGATGCATTTATCATACCTGCTCCTTAAAACACCTCCTTGACAAATCGGTGTTTAAACCTCTTCTGATCAAATTAACACAAATATTATTGGTTGGGTTCTGTTTCTTTTTAAACCTGTATCTGCTTTCTAGTTTTCCTACCCATGTTTGCAAGAGCTAAGCTGACACAGTAGATCTCACAGCGACATACGGCTGGGAGGCGCCAGCCATGATTAATTCAGGCCCAGTGGTGCCGGGGGGGGGGGGGGGGGGGGCGCAACCGGTAGAGCTCTGACCTTCACTATGATGTGTTCAAAGCCAGCTATTCCCCCTGTGCTCAGGGATCCTTTCCCTTCCAGTGTAGACGCTTTGAAAGCTCAGGGCCTGTCCAGATGTCTGCTGTATTTAGCCCCGTCCCTTAGGGCAGCCACGGGGGTGCAAGGCTGGTGGGGCACATGCCAAGAGGGCGTCCTGCTGGGCAAGGCCACCGAGAGCCCCTGGGATAGCACCACAGCAGTTAACCGTGCTAGCAGGAGGGCTGTCCTCACGGAGGTAAGGAGGAAGTCTGCTCCTCACTGCTCCACTTCCGTCACCTGCAGCCTGTTCTGCCGCACAGCTAGCTGCCCCGTTCTCTCAGGCAGCCTGCTGGGCTGTGAGGGTCTCCACGGGGATAAGCCTGGTGTCTCCCCTTCCCCTAGAGCAGGGCTCTCCGTCCTGCATATCGGAACCACCCGGCGTCTCTGATGGAACGGGTCTGGGGAAGGGTCCGTGCATTAGGGGAGTTTGCAAGGCTGTGATTCTGACTTGAACTCAGGACCAGAACCAGGCTGTCAGATAACATGGCACTTAGATGTATTCTGTTTTCCTCAACATTTAAAGAGTGATTCTAAAAAATAAGGTCAGACAATAAACAAAACATAGACAACACTTTTCAAATATGCACTTAATGATTACATATATACACATATACATATTTATTTATTCCCCACAGCCAGTACCTGGTGTTTCTGAGGAGGCCAGTGGGCAAAATGAAGAGATATTTGTGCTCCATTTGGAATGCACCAGAGAAAGTGTACCTGACATACTATCGTTAGGGGCAAAAATAGAATACTGGGGACTAGCTATGGTTATGAGAAATATTAATCACGCTGTTCACTCTGATTGCCTTGTGCTGGTTAACTAAAGGACATTCCAACTAACCTGGCTGGGAATTGTATGCGCGCCTCCCCTCCCCCTTGGAATGCGGTCCATTCTCATCCCCTAACTGCCTGTTATCGTGGAAAGATGAACAACCTAGTTGCCCAAACAATGGCGTCCCACCCCGCCTGCATTGCCTACTTCCCCAAGTAACCTTTGTCCACGCTAGCTGAGCAGCCGGCTTATGGGGGCTGCAGAGCACATTTTTGTGGGCGACCTGCTGCTCTCCCATCCTGCCAGCGTCTGATTCAACCCTGTCTCTGCCGAGATGGCTCCAGTCCTGTCAGGTAGCCCAGCCCCCTTGGCTGTCCAGTGTCACCATCACCCACAGTATTCATCAGGGCAGTGCTAGCTGCTGTAACAGGTGACACCGAACCTTGGCTGTTTAACACCAGGCAGCAATGGAACAACCAGCCGGGAAAGGGTTCTCCGGTGGTCTTCCAGGGCATGGTCTGTCCTCAGGGCCCAGGTTTGTGGCTCCATGGTGTCAGGAGAGGAACCGAGAAGGGAGACGAGAGTGAGCAGAACTGTGGGCAGGTTCCCCGCTCTGAGCAGTGCCACGTGCTGGCGCCCCATTGGCCAGAGCTCAGTCACGTGGCCACTCCCACCTGCCTGGCATGGTAACCACAGACCCAAGCCTGGAAGGAGCTGGAGGCTGGGGGACAGCCAGCCCTCCTGCCCTCAGCGCATTGGTGTGACCGGGGTCAGGAGACTCCCGGAAAGGCACGGGTCCCCCGAGGCCGGGAGGGCGGGCCCCAGGCCCCCGGGTGCGAGGCCTGCGAGGCGGTGCTCTGCTAAGCGGGTGTGCTCTTTCTCTCCTCCTCTCCACAGATATCGCCAACGGCAGCAGTTCCGGGGGGTACCGCTCGCCTCCCAGAACCAAGGAAGTCATCATCAACGGCCAGACCGTGAAACTTAAGTACTGTTTCACCTGCAAGATTTTCCGGCCGCCCCGTGCCTCCCATTGCAGCCTGTGTGATAACTGCGTAGGTGAGTAGCCGCGAGAGCCGCTCTGTTCCCAGCTCAGAGGCTGTGCCAGAGCACCTGGGGCTGACCGAGCGGCCGGGGGCTGACCGAGGGGCCGGGGGCTGACCGAGGGGCCGGGGGCTGACCGAGGGGCCAGGGGCTGACCGAGGGGCCGGCGGCTGGCCGAGGGGCCGGCGGCTGACCGAGGGGCCGGGGGCTGACCGAGCGGCCGGCGGCTGACCGAGGGGCCAGCGGCTGACCGAGGGGCCGGGGGCTGACCGAGCGGCCGGGGGCTGACCGAGGGGCCGGAGGCTGACCGAGCAGCCGGGGGCAGACCGAGGGGCCGGCGGCTGACCGAGGGGCCGGGGGCTGACCGAGGGGCCGGGGGCTGACCAAGGGGCCGGAGGCTGACCGAGCAGCCGGGGGCAGACCGAGGGGCCGGCGGCTGACCGAGGGGCCGGGGGCTGACCGAGCGGCCGGGGGCTGACCGAGGGGCCGGTGGCCGTTGCTGGAAGCGTGTGTGCATCCCTGTAGCCTGTGAGACTGAGCGCTCCGTCATTGTCATGTTGCCACGTCTGTGCCTCCTGCGCCGATCCCGGTCACCGAGCCAAGCGTTACCAAAGCCTGTGTTTTTCTCCTTTAACCCTGCCCCACCCCCTGTGCCAGTGCAGTGCGAGGCCTTCTCCCTGGGTTCCCTGAGCTGCCCGATCAGCGGGCACTTGCCATGAGACCAGTTCCCCGGGAGCTCCCCGCTGTGCCCAGCGAGCGGCCTCAGGAATGGGCTGTGCTGTGTTGGTGCTCCCCGTCCTCCGGGGGCAGCGGGTGAGGGAGCTGGCGGCATTGGAAGTGAAGGAGAGAAGCAGGGACAGAGGCTGGGAGACTTCCGAGCCTACAGTTGGGATTGTCACCTTTCCCGGAGACCCCGAGACCTCCTGTCTGCCTACGGTGTTCCCCAGGACGGACTAGCCCAGTGGTCGGCAAACTCATGAGTCCACAGAGCCAAATGGCAACAGTACGACTGACATTTCTTTGGAGAGCCACATTTTTTAAACTTAAACTTCTTCTAATGCCAATTCTTCAAAATAGACTCGCCCAGGCCGTGGTATTTTGTGGAAGAGCCACACTCCAGGGGCCAAAGAGCTGCCTATGGCTCGCGAGCCGCAGTTTGCTGACCACGGGACTAGAGAATGGACAGAGGGGGCACAGTGGAGCCCTGCGGTCCTCGGTGGCAGGACGTGGCCCTGCTGTCAGGCGATGGCCGGCCCCGCACAGGGTTCCTCCAATTCACCTGGCTCCAGCCCCTTGTCCTGCACTTCCTGTCCCTCAGACGGAGCGCTGCTGCCCACACGCACAGACACGTCCTCTCCTGGCCTGAGCCAACAACTCAATCCTCAACCAGCTCATCAGTGATTCTCTCTCCCTTCCTCTCTGAAGTCAATAAAAATAAATAGATTTAGCCGAAGCCGGTTTGGCTCAGTGGTAGAGCGTCGGCCTGTGGACTGAAAGGTCCCAGGTTCGATTCCGGTCAAGGGCATGTACATTGGTTGCGGGCACATCCCCGGTGGGGAGTGTGCAGGAGGCAGCTGGTTGATGTTTCTCTCTCATCGACGTTTCTAGCTCTCTATCCCTCTCTCCTCCTCTCTGTAAAAAATCAATAAAATATATATTTAAAATAATAATAATAAAATAAATAAATAAATAAATAAATACTGTAAATAGATTTAATAAGCAAATAAGAGGAGGAAAAGCCCGTTGCCCACAGCTGCCTCTAAGCGCCACGGGATGGTCCTGGGGCTGAGGCCTGGCAAACCGCCGCTCGGGGCCGCACTGTGGGGGCAGGTGACATCGGTAGCATCCGCTGGCTGTCACACCTGCTCCCAGCACTCCCGGAAAACCACACGGTGCTTCCCACCCATCCGGCTCTGGCTTCCCGTTCACTGAGCTGCGTCCCGCCCTCGTGGACCCGTTAGCAGACCAGCGAGGTGCCCCCCCTCCCCGGGGGACAGCGTGGAGAGCAGGTGTCTCCACTGGGAGGGGTAACGGCAGAGTCGGCCACTGTTTTATTTTTGGATGGAAAGTTGTTATTTGAGGAATCGTACTCTTCGCAGCCAGGGAGAACCCACAGCGATGTGCTGAGAGCTGGGCTGCCCCTGGCTCCCTCTCTGCGTAGCGAGGGGGCTTAGGTGGTCCTTCAGGCTCACCCAGGACCTGTCTACCTGCTGGGGCCGCAGCTTTGGCTGGGAGCAGAGAGAGGGGAGTGCCGGTTCCCTAGACAGCCCGGGAGAGCCTGCACTTCACTAAGTCCGTGTGAAATGGAAGCAGGGTGGCGCGGGGTCTGAGGACGGAGGAAAAGCTTTCCTGGCGAGTGAACTCTGGTGCAAGGACAGAACCTGTTGGCAGAGCCCAGTGACGGGGGTGTGGCTCTGAGACAGACGCAGGCCCGAGTCCTGGCGCTGGCGTTGAGTCACCTGGCACCCGGGCAGGTGATGCGACCACCCTCGCTGTCCCCACCCCTGCAGACGGGGCTTACCGTGCTGCCTCCGAGGTGCCCTTAAGGGCTGGGGGAGACCGTGCCCAGCAAGCACCCAGGACAGCCCGGCACCCACACCGGGCTCAGGACTGCTCGTCACGAATGCTGCTGCCACGAGTGACGGGACAAACGCTGCCGCACGCTCCCACAGGCTGCAGGCTCGTCCCCGCGGTGGCCGGGTCCCGTTCCCGCAGCCTGTGGGTATTAGGTGATGTGTCGCACTGAAGTGGATGGCCTCTCTCTCTCCAACCTTGTCACCTGTTTCCGTCTCGTTCTCTCATTCTTTCTCTCTCTGTGTCGTCATCACGTTGCTCTGCTCACTCGAAACAGTGTTTGGGCCGTTGTCCATCCGGCACAGCCAGCAGCTGGGCGGTGGAGCCAGCTCTGCCCCCGCAGCTCCTAGGCCTCCTCAGGGCGAAAGCAGAGTCGCCGGGGCCAGAGAAGCACTCCTGCACTGTGAGGTCCTTGCTGACTGACTGTGCGCGTCCTGAAACCCCACAGGAGTTCCCACCCTGCCCTTCCGGCTGGTCTCTGAGCCTCTGTCCTTCTGTCCTGTCTGTCTGTCTACCCGCTGGGGCTCTTGCTCTTCAACCCAGTAACTCCCACTGCTGCTATGGCACGTGGCATAGTGACCGGCAGCAGGACCCTGGGCTCAAAGACGCCTCCCAGCGCCCTGAGCGTGCCCCGCTGTGCATCCCTCCCCCACAGCCTCCCCATGCTGCAAGCCCTCTCTGCCAGGGGCTGTGCACTCAGTGATCGCTTTGGAGGCACAGAGAGCGGAAGTGGACACGCAGAAACCACCCCCACACATCCACGCCCGGGTCACTCCTGCTGGCCTGTGGGTTAGGAACATACTTTGGACTTCAGAACGTCTACCGCATTGCTTTATCCAAAATGCTGCTGGTTATTATGGCTAGCTTAGGCTTTGAGTTGAATGTTACTATTATTTTATCTTGTTACTATTATTTTAACTTAAAAAACTAGCTCTCCTGTTTGCTGGTACTGTTATTGCTGGTTTTCTCATCATCTATAAAAAAGTGATGATATTGTCTGCTCATTTTGAGGGTTATATGTTCACAGTTTTCTCACCCTACCATGTTAATTAGAAGAGCTAGAAATGTTACATATTAGTAATGATAGTGGACATCCTAATTTGTTCCTAACTTTAATGTGAATAATTCATTATTTTACTTTTTTTTTAAGTTAGCTTTGAAAAAGGCATGTTAAAGGAATATTCCTCATTAGTTTCCTATTGCTAAAGGGCCAATTACCGCGAATGTAGTGGCTTTAAACTACACCCATCTGCTGCTCGGAAATGTCAGTGGTTAGGAACCCAGTTCAGGGTCTCTCCAGGCTAAGATCACAAGGGCGGGGTGCAGCCTCAAGTCCTTCAAGTTGGTGCAGGTGGGATTCTCTTCCTCTCCCCCTTCCCATCCCCCACCCCATCTTCAAGCCAGCTCCTCCTCCTCCTGCTTGCACTCTCTCCATCTTCGCTCTCCAGGGCACTGTGATCACGGGGGGGCCCGTGGAGAGCCCATGACCTCTCACGAGTTTAAGGCCAGTTCATCAGGAACCTGAATGGCGCCCGCAGAGTCTCTGCCAGGCGAGGTGACAGAACCGGGAGCAGTGTCCCAGGACCAAGGTCCCGCAGCCAGGATTCTGCCGGCCACGCCCCCAGCCTGGGTGTTGGGAGTTTTAGAGTGGGAAACAGGTGCCACGCTGCTGTTTGATCACAATCACACCCGTCCGGCCTCTGACCTATCGATAAATTAATAGGCTCGGGAACATCAAAAAATCATCGCATTCCTGGAATACGCCTTTCTCTGTCAGGATGACGAATCCTTTCCAGATGAAGCTGGCTAGGCCATCACGCCAGCTCTAACGTGCGTTCCTAAGTGAGAATCTTTTTTCCTTTTTTGCATCTTCTTTCTGTCCAGTTTGGGGGTTTGCTCTCTTGCTGAAATGAGCTGAGAGCCTGTCCAGCGTTAGTCTGTTGGTTTTCCTTAGCGTCCCTTTGGCCGAAGCAGCAGAGCCTGCGAATGCCTTTGGATTCATGCTGCCTGCCATGTTTCCTCCCTGTCCCATTCCCCGTCTTCTCCGAAGGTTCCTGCGCCTCAGCCTGGCCCGTAACCGCGTCCCCACTCTGGCTTGAAATGAGCACGGACAGTCCCGAGATCCGTCAGCTGAAGACAATGTGGAGGTTTTTCTTGTCCATGGGTCTTGTCATGGTGTCCGGGTTCATGAGACTCGCACAGGGACAGAGAAGTCAAGGAACGTCGCCATCACCGAGGCAACGCGCACTTTGCAAGACTGAGAGCCGGGCTCGCTCCTGGCTGTGCAGGCGGCTGCCGTCCTCCTCAGAGGCTGTAGTCATCCACACGGCGAGCTCCGCGCCAGCCTACCCCCTCTGAGCATGCAGAGGAGGACACGGGCATGGATGCTGGCACTGACTTCCTCCTGGTCTCCTCTGAGCTGCTCGGCTGCTTTCAGAAAGAGATGGGTTTCCGTTGCAGCTCCTGCTCAGTGACTCGGGGTGACCAGCTCCAGGGACAGCGGCACCAGGTCACCTTTCTGACTCACCGGCGGAGGGCTGACATTCTCTCCTGGAAGCCTTCGCTTCCTCTTGTGTCAAATTAAAGCTGTTCCCGGTTGTCAGGGCGCTGCGTTCTCCGTCTCTTCCTGCCGGTTTTCATTTCCTGCCTCGCTCAGCAGCTCCCTCTCCTTCCCCGGCTGCCCCAGATCCTCTCTCGTTCCTGCACCGTCCCCCTCAAATCTCCACGCTGTGGCTGGAGCCGCGCTTTTGCTTCAGCCAGATAGTAATCCCCCTCCAACCTCTCCATCCATCCGGCAGGCTCCTTCTCAACCAAGATTACTTCCATGCGCGGTAAAACTGCAAGAGAGCCGAGAGATGCTTGGGAGACAATAACCAAAATACGATGAAATCCCACCAAGTCTTTAATGGCTCAGAACAATCTCCTTCATGACATGTTTGTTACGGTCTAAGTACATGTATGTAGGTAGGAATTCCGTAGATGGAACACCCGCGTCCAGGAGTCGGCATGTTAGCAAACCGCCAGGCCGTTCTTAGCAAGTGTGAGAGCCCGGAAGGGATTCTGCCCGTCCGGGCTCCGCCATCAAGCCCGGGCCCTCGGGATGCGCTGGTGATGGCTCCTGTCACAGAGCAGCGGCTTCTTGTTTATCCCGGAGAAGCGCTCGCCTCGCTGCTGCCCGAGATCGTCAGACCAGCTCTGCTTCAAAACACTCTCCTTCCACACCCGGAGAAGCCACAGGCAATTACGGCACACAAGCCTCCCTGCGTCTCCCCGTCACCTGTTTGCCCTGCTCTGTCCCCCGACGGAGGCTCCTGGCCGGGGCCTGGGGAGTGTGTGTGCTCATCTCCGAGTCTCGCCCCCTTTCGCATCCCGAAGTCTGTCTTCCTCTCAGGTTCCTGCCTCCAGTCAGACCCAGAACACCTGGGGAAGCGGAAGTACAGGCTGGGGCAAACGTGGTCTTACAGTTGTGCTCAAACCGGTTTGTTCTTAAATTGTTATGTATTAATTATTGTATTAGTTTCCATACAAACAGCTTACGGTAGGTTTTACCACAAGTTTTAGAACAGCATGAATTATTTACTGTTTAAGAGGTGGTCCTCTATAGAGACAGTAAAGCAACAAGCAGACTGTCAAATCACAGCGGGGAGGGGAGGGAGATCTGGGGGAGATAATAGATCAACCGAAGGACTTGTATACACGCATATAAGTACAACCAATGGACACAAAACTCTGGGGAGGGAAGGTATGTATGGGGGGGGGGCAATGTTAAAATATGTACATAGATAATAATTTAATAAAAAATGTTAAAAAAAAAAAAAAGGTGGTCCTCTAGCACTAAGTCAGTTAGAGATTTCCCCCCATATATTGTTATTGATTTCAGAGAGGAAAAATGTTTGTAAAGGTATGAAGTGGAAAAGGATGTTTCTTTAAACCTAAGACACTTTAGCTCAGCCAGCATGGCTCAGTGGTTGAGCGTTGACCTATGAGCCAGGAGGTCACGGTTCAATTCCTGGTCAGGGTACATGCCCGGGTTGTGGGCTGGATCCCCAGTGGGGGGCCTGCAGGAGGCAGCAGATCAATGATTCTCTCTCATTATTGATGTTTTTATCTTCCTCTCCCTCTCCTTTCCTCTCTTTATGGTCTATGGAATGACGCTCCGACCAACTGAGCCATGTGGCCGGGGCCCAGCACCATTCTAGACTCCGTTCTTTCCCTCACCCTCACGTCCCATCCACGAGCAAGTCCCATCAGCGACTCTCACTGTTATCTAACATTGTCTTAGTTTCGAACAGCTGTTTGAAATGTATCAGATGTTGTGGTTGCACGCAGCTCACGCTGCCAGCTGTTGCCCACCCCCCTCCAGATGTCCCTTCCAGCCAGGTCCCCAGGAGCCGCGCCTGCGTCAGCTCGTGCCCAGATGCTAGGCTCTTCTCCCCTGGAAACCCAGTAACACTAACATGAGCCTCCCCTTCTCACCGACCCCACAGCTCCTGGCCTCCCCAACTCCCTGGGCCGAGGCGGGGCGTTCAGAGCAGAGCCGTAGGGATGGGGCAGGCCACCCCCACGCCCTCACGCCGACCCAGTTTACTCGTAGAGGGAGGGCGTTGTGTGCGCTGGGAGAGCAGCTGCTGTCCGTGCTGACCTAGGTTTCCCTGTTAGAGTCCCTGCCTTGGGCTGAGGAGAGTTTGGAGTCTGAGAGTAAGTGTCCTCCCGGAAAAGGATAAGGTAGAGGCCAGGCTGTGTGTGGCTCTTTTCCTTCGCGGCAGGCCTCATCCTTCATGCTCCCAGACACTGGCGCTGCTCACTGAGGGCACCGGGCGTCTGGTGGCCAAGGTCCGGAGGCCCATGGCGCCAGGTCCCCCCCAGCCTCGCTGCATGTCTGCTCTGTCATCGGGCAATGCGTGTGCTCACCCGGCGTCCTGCTGGTGGTGAGAAGGTCTGTTCATTTACGTGACAGGTTTTATCAGCGGCTCCGAGTAGGGTTGGCAGAGGAAAACAAGTAAATAACTAAGACAATGTTAGATAACGGTGAGAGTCGCTGATGGGACTTGCTCGCGATGGGATGTGAGGGTGAGGGAAAGAACGGAGTCTAGAATGTGCTGGGCCCCATCCATGTGGCTCAGTTGGTCGGAGCGTCATTCCATAGACCATAAAGGTAGCGGGTTCGATCCCTGGCCGGGATGTGTATGGGAGGCAACCGATCAACATCTTCTCTCTCCTTCTCTCTCTCTCTCTCTCACTCTTTCTCTCTAAAAATCAATAAAGTCCTGGCCCATTTGGCTCAGAGTGTCGGCCTGCGAACTGAAGGGTCCCAGGTTCGATTCTGGTCAAGGGCATATACCTTGGTCGCGGGCACATGTACCTTGGGAGTGTGCAGGAGGCAGCTGGTCGATGTTTCTCTCTCATCAATGTTTCTAACTCTCTATCCCTCTCCCTTCCTCTCTGAAAAAAAAATATATTTTTTTTAAAAAAATATTTTAAAAATCAATAAAAACATATTCTCAGGCGAAGATTAAGGAAAAAAAAGCAAGGTGGGACTCTGGGTTGACAGAGGAGGCGCGGAGTGGGAAGAGGTCTGTGTGGGAGGGATAAGGGAAGTTCTCCGGGGCGGAGGCTGAGAGGGCGGGTGGCTCAGCTGAGGCTGTTGCTGACGCGGCATGCGGCCACTTTGGCGCCATCCGGTGGAGCTGGTGTTGGAACTTGGGGTAAAGAGTTTGCCGGTGAGGAGAGGGCAGAGGCAGCCTGGCACTGCGTGGGCCCACGCTGTTAGCTATGCCCCTGCCCCCGCGCCTGCTGTCCTCTGCAGCTGTGAGCCGGGGAAGGGCTCGGCCTCCACACTCTGGGGGTGGGAGGCCGGCCTCTGCTGGAACGGAGGCTCCGTCCCTGGCCTCTGGCCCAGCCTCCACGCCACACCCATTTCCTGGGCTCCTGTGCAGAGAGGGAGCGGTCTCCCAGGACGACAGCCCCCGTCCCGGGGAAATCTGGCCGATTCACGTGTTTTCTCTGTGCATTCTGCGTGTTCTCCAGTGTATGTCACTGATGTGGGGGACGACTCAGGGGTTCCCTTTGCCGCTGTCACTCACGTGGGCACGCCAGTCAGAATTGCTTTCCTTGGAGGGTCAGCATCTTAGAGCCACTGGCTTCTCACCAGGACCGTGCGCTCTGAGACTTCTCTCCAGATCCTCCGCGAGGCCTGGCTGCTTCTTGTGAATCAGTGGTTGAGCGTCAGCCTATGAACCAGGAGGTCACCGGTTCAATTCCCAGGCAGGGCAGCTGCCAGCATTGCAGGCCCAATCCTCAGTAGAGGGTGTGCAGGAGACAGCCGGTCCATGGTTCTCTCTCATCACTGAAGTTTCTATCTCTCCCCCACTCCCTTCCTCTCTGGAATCAATAAAAATATTTATTTTTAAAATAATAATAATAATAATAATAATAATATCAGTTCTTCTCCAACTACTGACATAGCAGAGACATTGCTTAGGAGACAGTCGTCCTTGGGATGGGAGACCAGGGATTGTCCCTCTGTCCTGTACCCGCCCTGGGACTGTCTGTATGGTCGCCGTGAGAACCTGTACCCATGATGGCGGGGACCCCACGCCGTCTGCCCGGCTCTCAAGTCAGAGGTGCTGATTCCGTCTTAAGGAAAGACTGTTCTGTGCACCGGAGTCCTTACATTTCACTTGTTTTACCGCAGGGTGAACTCCTGCTTTTCTGATTCAATGGGAATAAATGTATCCTCTTGGTTTCCTTTGAACAGACAAGTCCTGTTGAAAGAATAATCATATTCTTGAAATGTCTTCCTATAAAGCCTTGCTCTGAGTGGTGCGCGTGTAAATACGTCGTTATATTATTTTCGTTATGTTATCAGCATTGGGGGGGCGGGGCTTCTTCCTGTAAAAAGACACTTTATTAATTGATTCCCCTTTTTTTTCTTTTCTGCCTCTCTTTTCAGAACGGTTTGATCACCACTGTCCCTGGGTAGGCAACTGTGTGGGGAAAAGAAACTACAGATTTTTTTATATGTTTATTTTATCTCTGTCTTTTCTGACAGTCTTTATATTTGCATTCGTTATCACCCACGTCATTCTTCGTAAGTATGCTGGTGGGACCAGGTTACGTATGTAGCCATTTGCCTGACTGGTTTTCTGATTTAAGTTTGATTTACTATTTTGATCATTCCGGGCTTTCTCTTCCTTCTCTCCCCCTTCTCCCTACCCCCTCCTCACTTCCGGCTGCCCCCCCCCCTTGCTTCTGCCTTCCTCCCTCCCACCTCAGCCCCCTCCTTCCTACTCCCCATGCCCCATCTTTCCACGGTCACCCCTGGGACAGGCTCCCCCACTTTTCCCTGATACTTGTCCCTATTCCCACCTCAGTGACTGCACTTTCCCGCCTGCTAAGGGGTCCCCGGGAAGAATCACCCGCACATTTTCTCAGAGGATACTGTGCCGCACTAATCCCGAGCTTTTTAACTTTTTGATGTGATATCTACTTAGGCAGAGCAGTCACCTCCCTAGAAAAGGTGTGGGGTAAAGCCTGGTTTTCTTGCACACACAGCTACATGTTGAAGGTACACGTTAGGGAAGATGCTCAGTTATCTGCCAGAACCTTAGGAAGCTCCGGCTGGCGTTTAAAGGAAGCAGCCTGGTTAAAAATGCAATTTGGATGTAAAGAGCTTTGAGATATATATCCGCCTAAGCAAACGGCACTTTTCATTCCCATTCTGCAGGCCGTAAGTCTGAGTTCCTTTTGTCTCTTGGCCTTTTACTCTCCTGCAACAGGCAGTGATGAGAAGGAAGTTAATTGGCTTTGGACTATAAATTTAAGCCTTTAAGCTCCCATTACAGCGCCGTTAGCAACATTAAAGGCCAGCGGGGCCTCTTGTCCACATTCCTGAGGTATAGCCACGTTAGCAAGTACAGAGAATGTTCCAGAAAGTATCTGAGTACATGCCTCACTTTCCTCCCAGGCAGCAACTCTCCAACCACAAAGGGGGTGCAGGGAGGCTGCAGTCGGAAATGTTTCCTCCTCTTCTCCAGGGGGCCTGTGTGGGCCTGCGTGGGGCCCGGGGAAGTGGATGGAAAGGAAGTTTCACTTTAGTTCTTTTTCTTTTTATTCTGAAGTATATTTTTATTGATTACAGAGAGGGAGAAAGAGATGGAAACATCAATGATGAGAGAGAATCATGGATCGGCTACCTCTTGCCCACCCTACACTGGGGATTGAGCCCAAAATCTGGAATTGAAGATGACCTGGTTCATAGGTCAACGCTCAACCTCTGAGCCATACCAGCTGGACTCACATTAGTCCTTTTTAGATATTGGTCAATTTTGGACATTAAATGGAGTACCCAGAATTTTAACAGCATTTTCAATCCTACTTCCCATTTTTTCTTACTGAAATTCTTCCCCAGAAGGTGACACAGGTTTGTAACATATGCCTGAGCGCCAGCACTTGGGCTGCGAGAACAGGGTGACATTGGGTCAGACCTCCTCGACGCGGCCTGGGGGCGGGGGGTGCCAGGGAGGCCCTGCAGTTTTCAGTCGGATAATGGCAGAAGCAGCCTGGATCCTATCTGTGTTAACAGCCCAAAGATTCCGATCGCACACACACCTGTGGAGAAGTAGTAATGTACTGCTCCAGCACATTTTCTGTGACGCTACAAAACAGTGTTTAAACTTTACATATTTTGTTAATCCTCCTCTGAGAATATTTTTTCTATTGATTTTTAGATAGAGTGGAAGGGAGGGGGAGAGGCAGAGAGAGAGAAATCTATGTGAGAGAGACACATAGATTGGTTGCCCCCTAAGGGCCCTGCATAGAGTCTGCAACCAAGTTACGTGCCCTTGACCAGAATCAAACCCAGGACCCTTCAGTCCATGGGCCAATGCTCCAACCACTAAGCCAAACCAGCAAGGCTTCACGTTACATTTTTCTATCATCTTTAGTAGCTTCAAAATGTTTTTCTATGGGATATATGATCACATTGTATGAATCGCCTTGCCCTTACTAGGTGTACCGGTTAATAATGAGGATTTTTTTTAATAGATGGGGTTACACGTATGTTGATATGTATGCAATTTGATATGTATGCTATTTTGTTGTATTGACAGCAAGCTTTAAAACTTCATATGTCAAATTTTCTGAAGGTGTTACCATCATAGATATTTTTACACTTAAAAATGTCAAATTTCATGCCAAAAAAAAAGGGGGGGGCATTTGCGGGAAGTTTTAATTCATTATTTTAAAGAAAAAAAATATCGTATACTTAAGGAAGCTTATGGTGAACATGCCCCATATCAAGATACTTGTGAATCCTGTTTTAAACATTTTAAAAGATTTTGATGTGAAAGACAAAGAACGTCCAGGTCAGCAGAAAAAGTTGGAAGACCAAAAATTACAAGCATTACTGGATGAAGATGCATGTCAAACTCAAACACAACTTGCAGAAAGATTCAACATTGCTCAGCAAACAATTTCCGATTGTTTACAAGCAATGGAAAATATTTTAAAGGAAGGAAAATGGGTGCCACGTCAACTGAATGAAAGACAAATGGAAAACTGAACAGTCATCAGTAAAACGTTGTTTCAAAGTCATGAAAGAAAGTATTTTTTGCATTGAATTGTAGCTGGCAATGACAAGGGGATTTATTTTGAAAATCCCAAATGCACAAAATCATGTGTTGATCCAGGTCAACCTTCAACACTGACTGCAAGGCCAAATCGCTTTGGAAAGAAGACAATGCTCAGGGTTTGGTGGGATCAGGAAGGTGTGGTGCATTATGAGCTTCTAAAACCAGGTGAAACCATTATTATGGATCTCTGTTGACAACAAATAATCAATTTGAACCATGCTTTGATCATGAAATGACCAGAATGTGCCAGAAGATATGGCAAAGTAATTTTGCTTCATGATAACGCACCATTACACACTTCAAAACCCTTTAAAGACACGTTAAAAGATCTTGCCTGGGAAGTATTAACCCACCCACTGTATTCACTAGAACATACGAAGAAGTGGAAAATTGGGTCTCTGAATGGCTTGCCTCAAAACAAAAAAAGTTCTATTGGGATGGTATCCATAAATTTCCTGAAAGATGGGGAAATGTGTAGCTAGTGATGGATATTGCTTTGAATAAAGCACTTTTGATGTTTCTCTTGAACATCATGTTTTCTTTGATTACAAAATCTGCCATTATTAACTGGTACCCCTAGTACATTCTGGATAATAAGGGCCTGCTTTTATTTGCTCAGCCACATATACAAATTCTGGGAACACACACACACACACACATACCCATACACGGGAGGTGCGGGTTGTGATGTACATTTCATCGTCCCTCCTTTACACTTCACTCACCCGAGCTCAGAAGACAGGTTTGCTGTGGCATTATGCTTGTGCCTTATTAATCCAGTCTCCACACAAAACGGATCTGCCCACAAGTTACCCGAATGTATTGTGCAAAGCAAATAATGGTTTTCCTCTCCTCTTGCCCTGCACCCCAACACCCCCGCTTGATCTTAGTCCCCATGACCGTCTACAATTGCACCTGGGATCTGTCACCTGATCTCTCCCTGCCAGGTCGTGGGGGACGGGGCTGGAAGGGGACAGTGGGGTGAAGGTCTGTTATTGCAGATCCATGGCAAGGCGAGGTCTGGAATTCTCACAGAAGAAGGAGAGTTGGGAGAGCGATACAAGGCGGGCCCAGGAGGGACAGAGAAATCATTGCTTCGGGTCTCGTCTTGCCTCAAGGCTGTGTTTGCTCAAAGACCCGCCACTTCCCCCTGCTGGTTCCTATGGCCCCAGCAGGAATGGAAGGGGGAGCCCTAAGCTTTTCTTGTTAGCTCTCCCATGGGCTGGCATCCTAGTTCACGGGGCACATCCTCATGCCTCTGCTGTGACCACTGGGCACAGAGAGGAGGGGAGGACACAGAGAGGAGGGGGGGACGCACAGAGGGAATGGGAACTCAAGGAAGAATCTGGAGCCGTCCACTCACAGCCTTCCCATCGCTGGACAGGTTTCCACGCACACCGTGGGGCCTGGGGCCCAGCGGTAACTCCCACGCTGCAGCCACGCCATCCCCGTGTGCCGCAGGAATGCGCTGGCACCATCCTGTTCCCAGCAGCCCTCCCTGGTCATCTCATCGCTGCCCGGGGCTGCACCATGTCCCCAAACACAGGGCTCTGCCTGGCAATCGGACCCGCGTCACCCCCACAATGGGACACCCACAGTCCCTCCCGTGGGCTTTGAGTCACAGAAACCACGATGTCAGTCCATAAACTAAAGATCGCCTCTCAGACGCATCTTCACTCAAGCCCCTCAAGAAGTGTTCTCTGGCATAAAACACCTTAAACCCACAAGGAGTCGCAGTAGACTTGGGTGTAATGCGTGTGTGTCCTCTGGGCGCAGAGAAAGATGGAATTTATATGTAGCCTCGTGTCTGGGACCTCCAGGGCCAGAAGCTAACACACCCTGGGAGGGAAAACGGCCTGCAGTATTCTGATTTCCTACTAAAATGAGGGAGACAGAGGAGCCATCAGAACTACGGTTTCCTACTGATTTCCTACTAAAATGAGGGAGACAGAGGAGCCATCAGAACTACGGTTTCCTACTGATTTCCTACTAAAATGAGGGAGACAGAGGAGCCATCAGAACTACGGTTTATGCTTTGACTGAAAGACCACCCTGCAGCTGTTGCCTCTTGGGAACCTGCCGTGTCCCTGTTGATAATTCTGGCATCGCCATCCCGGCCCATGTCCCGGGGCCACAGCACACACACACACACACACACACACACACACACACACACAGTTATTTCATTGATCCGGAGACCGGTGGTTCCGGAGACCAGTGATTGCCGCGCCGATGAGGGAGCTCCGTGTGAAGGCTGTTGTTCTGGGGGGAACGTCTGAATGCTGGATGTGGGTCTAATACTGAGTATTGGTTTGTCCCCACAGGTTCACAGCAGACGGGATTCCTCAATGCGATCAAGGACAGCCCCGCCAGATATCCTTTGTGGGTGTTGTGTGTGTGCGAGGCTGAGGCGCCGCGTGCCGGACCGCCCTCCTCGGCCATCTGCCTCCGCCCTGTGCCCTGGCTTGTCTTCTCAGCAACCGTATTCCTTTTTGTCCCGTGAAGCATCCCCTGGCGTGAGGAATGGCGTCCGAATGCCCCAACTGAGGGCCGCGCTTGGCCCAAAAAGCGAGTGTGTGATCTTGCCCACCCCGGGAGCCCACATCGATATCGGTGTTACGTTGGGTTGGTCTGGGGAGAAGCAGGGCTGCAAGCTACAAACTGGCTGCGTCCGGATCAGCAGGTGGTCCCTGCAAAACCTTTGTGGGTTTCTCTGCGTGGGCCCCGTTCTCGGCTGGCAGCCCCAGAGGGGACCCCGTGAGCTTCTGTCGGGGGTCAGTTTGGCCCTCCTCTGGGCAGGACAGATGACCCGTATGAACTTTCAGAAACGGAACACCTTTCCCAGCCCCGGAGGGACCAAAGGTGGTCCCTCCCATGTCGTGTGGGTGAGTCCCCTCCTCGGCATATAAGGGCATGTGCCCTAGTATTTTGAACTTCTGGAAAGGCGGATGTTCGCCCATTCGGTTCTTGCGTGGGCTCCCACTCCCTTCGCTGTCCACTGAGGTTTCCACTCATTGGTGTGGCCCGCCAGCCGGCCCCACTGACTGCCCCCGTGGCCCAGGCTCGCTCTCTTGTCTTCAGGTGACCAGGTGGCCTGGACCTGAACTCCCTGTTATTCCCAGGAGTCCTCACCTCGTGGTAGGACTCTTAAGAAAAGAACTTGACTGAGAGGTACAGTCACCTGCCTACATCTCAGTCCGGGGCGAGGGGTGAGGGGTGCACTGACGTCAGTGACAGGGACCCTAACCCTGGGGAGGCTGAGGGAGCTCACTGCTCCGTTCCCTGGGCCTCCGGGCTGCCCGCTGCTCCCCGTGGCTGTCCTGGGCACCCGCACACACGCCCTCCCGCTGAGGGCACAGCTGTGTGACTGGGCTTGTTGCTGGCAGGGGGCCAAGGGGTGCCATCCACTGCAGACCTCCCCATCGAGGAAGGATCTCACCACCTCACAATCCTGGGATGAGTCCTAAGGAAAGACCGGTAGCAAGTCCTAGACGGGCAACAGCTTGGCTTCCTGCTCCATTGCAGCTCATGAGGAGGTTCAGGCCATTTCTTTAAACCCTTTGCAGTCTCAGCTCTTTGCTTTAACCCTCTGCATTTGTGGCTATTTGTTACGGTAGTCAGCCACCACTCCGTACCAGGCAGTGCTATGGCAACAGAATCAGCTACTTGGGCTGTGCGTGAGCATGCTCAGCCCCAGAGCACTGCCACGTGCGTGGGAGGCGTGAGCTCCGGGCGGCACCGGCTGCGGGGCAGCTCTGCCAGGCCTCCCGCCGAGCACACGTCTGCTGCTCTCACCGGCTGGCTGTGCTCAGTCTGTAGAGTCAAGTGCACTGTGTTCCCCATGAGGGAAGAGGCAGGTGCTGCCAATGGAAGGGAAGAAGGGGGGGCAATGTATCAGGGTGGCACGCTGACTTTGCTGCAGAAACTGTTCATGTGCAAGGGGGGTGGGGAGGGGAGAGAAATGCTCTTATTTGGTCCAGAGCAACACGTCAGCTTACTTTCTCTCGGAAGATCACTCTCAGGCGGAGGCGAAGAGTTTTCCCAGGGCCCGGTGTGCGAACACACACACAACCCTCAGCCGCTGCCTTTCCAGGGTCGCCACATGGCACTGCTGACCCTCCCCTCAGCCCGATGCCGTGCCCTGGAGGCTGTGGCCTAAGCCTGGCCCCACGTTCCGTGACCCGCCCCGAGCGCATGACAGGCCCCTCGCAGCACGGGCCGGCTGTGTGAGCTTCCGTGGCTGCTGTGACGAAGAGCCAAGGCTGATAGGCGTACTATCCCTCAGCCCTGCAGGTCGGAGTCCAGGGGCCCGGCTGGCTTCCGCTCGTTCGTGTTGACGCCTCACGAGTGCGTACCCCAGAAGAGTCTGCTGTGGGTTCCACTGGCTCGTGATGCGCTGAGAACACGGCGTTCTGCTCCTCAGTGAGGACGTCCGAGTGACCGGCAGGGCGGGGCCCTCCGGGCAGCTGGCCAGGGAGTCTTTGTTGGTGGCCTCGGGGCGGCTCTCTCTCTCCCTGGAGTCCGGGGAGACCACGTTCCAGCTCCGTTTCGCCGGGAACTGCTCTGTGAGCCCTGACAAGTGGCTGGAGGACGCTGCGCCTCGGCTTCCGGTCTGTGAGATGAAAGGGTCGGGAGAAGCCAGGGCCTCTTCGCGGGGGTCCGTGTGTGTCCGTGGGGCTGCGTCAGGGGCGTTGTTAAGCCGCCTGAAGTTACAAGAAAAACGTGTTTGTCACTTGTGTGCAGTTTTTCTGAGTTGGCATGTTTCCTCTCCTTTTAAATCAGTTGATGTATAAAAACATTTCAGAGAAATTCATATTCTTATTCTGGCACAGACAGCATCTGGCTGTGGGTCAGGGAGGAGGTGTGTCGTTGGTGTGGGGGCGCAGTCTGAGGGTGGGTGTGCAGGCACGGCTCCTGCAGAGGCCGCAGGGCTGAGCCGGAGCCACTGCCCCAGCAAGAACTGGGAGAGGAGCCACACCCAGGGCTCAGATCCCAGCTCTGCTGTCTCTTAAGCAAGTTACTCCAGTGCCTCCTGCCTCAGTTTCCCTCTGCGTCAAGTGGGAACGGTGCTTCTCCCTGGGGGGACCTGAGGGCCGGGTGCATCCCGGGGAAGCCGTGGCGGCACCTGGCACGTGCCCGTGACACCAGCCATCGGCGGGAACGGTGGTGATTTCCCTCCAGAGCGGCTGGGGGCGGAGCAGCCGCCATGGGCGAAGCTGGAGGGGGCCGCAGTCTGCACCCGCCTTCCCTGCATTCATGTCATCTTGACACGGCAGTGAGCTGCTGGGGAGACGCCTTCTGCTGTTTATAACCGTCTCTAAGGCGCGAGATGCTAACGTGGAAAGCTGCGTTCGTTGTTGTTGCGCTAAACCATTCGAACCCCACCTCCCCGGGGACCAGCACCTGCCTGTGGGGGTGCAGGCGGCTTCGCAGAGGACAGGAGCTGGGCCTCCCGCCCCGCCGGCCCTCACCTCCGCCGGCACCGTGTCCGCGTCCGCACACGGGAATGCTGGGCGTGTTGGACGCCGCCCGCCTCCCACTGCCCTGGAAGTAAACCCGCCGGCAGGGAGCACTCTGAGGTCAGCTCGACACGTCACTCCGTGGAAAGCCTTTGCTTCCGCTTTTCATCCTCTCTTTTCCGCCTTGACCGTTTCTTGGCTGGTGTCACGTGCCCCCTGCTCTTCTGCAAAGTAATTGCCAGTGTCGTGTCTCCCCCCCCCCCCCCCCCGGCACCCAGTCTTCCTGGCTGGCCGCCCCTGGACCCTCGCTGTCCGGCCTCCCCTCCCCTCTGGTTCACACGGGGGCCTGGCTCCCAGCGGCTGGCCGGTGATGTTAGGAGGGGCAGCTGCGAGAGTGGCCTGTTGGGAGGCAGGTGAGAAGGAGACCGTCTTTGTCCCTGTGTCCCAGCGGCACGCCAGGCCTCCCACCGTCACCATCTGCCCACGCGGCAGCCCCGGGGGAAAGGAAGGGGCTGCCGGGGGTTGCCCAGGGAAAAGCGGGTAAACGTGGATGAGGAGGGGTCCACTTCTCTGACCCTCCTCCCCAGGCGTGTTTTCCCCCATCCCTCCATGTTTATCTGCTTTTGCCAAACACCACCTTGTCTTCCTCTCCTCCTTCCTCTGCGAGGACAGCGCGTGCTGGCAGGCTAGACTCTGGAGGGCCCTGCCCTGGGGAACGTGTGCGTTCCTCCGGTCTAAAGGAGCATCCCCGCCAATCCTGAAAAGATCAGGGGTTATGTCACAGTGTGGCCCGTGGCTCCCACGCGTGGGGGCGCCAGGAACCTGCGTGTTTCTTCCTCTGGCCTGTACCCATTCCTGGGTGCGTGGTGCAGACCGAAACTCCCAGGCCTGGGAGAGCGTTCTGTTTGTTTTCCCCCGAGAAACATCCATATCTTGTAAATAGAGTTTTATAAACATTTGTGGGACGGAAAGTCCTCTAGTCTTTTCAGTTGCCCCTGCGGGTGATGTTCTGGTGAGGAATGCAGCCGCCTGCCTCGGCTGTACCATCTGCGGATCTGCTCCCGTCCCCCCCCGTGAGCCTCCAGGTTCACCGCCTTCGGCGGCAGGGCTGACTCGGGCGGGGAAACATCCCGAAATACAATGGCCCTCACCCCGAGCCAGTCTGCGAAATGCCCCCGCTGGGTGAGAGCCCAGGGGCAGAGGGAGCAGGCAGCACCCGGGTGTGGAAGGGCTGCCCAGGGAGAGAGCCTCGAAGCAACCCCGCCTGGTACAGCCACCCAGGTCAGCTCCACACTTGGTCAGCCCCGCACCGAGGCCCCACAGCCTCGCCCGCGGGCTGGGAGAAACCTGCTGGCACCACAGCCCCCAGCACCCAGTGGCCAAGCGGAGCGTCTGTGCGTGAAGTGGTGCTCGGTCACTCCCACCGGAGGCGGGGCCCTGTCGGCCCCAGCGCCGGCTTCCGGGGTAGCTGTCGGTGGCCCCTCGGTGTGAGTCGCAGGAAAAGGCGAGGCGGCCAGGAGGGGGGACAGTCCGAGGCCCGTGACGAAGCCGGCAGGGAGCCCCTCCATCGTTACCGAGCAGGTGGCGGGAGAGCGTGGGGAGGGCTGTCCCAGGTGCCCCAGGTGCCACCTCACCATGGGAGGCTGGATAGACGCACGAGGCCCGAGTGAGTGTGGTGTCCCGTCCACGCCTCCAGCCATGGTGGCCCCGGCTCGGCGAGCGCTCCATTCCCGGTTCCCTCCTTGACTCGGGCACTGTGCTGGAGGCCGTGGTGTGCTTCTTCTCCGTCTGGTCCATCGTCGGGCTGCTGGGCTTCCACACGTACCTCATCAGCTCCAACCAGACCACCAACGAGGACGTGAGTTCCCTCGGCGCTGCGCGGGGCGGGGCGGGGCTGGGCGGGGCGTGCTCCGTGTTCAGGAACCGGGAGGGGGCGAGGGAGGGAAAGAGAAGGTAGGAACCGGGGTCTCCGTCCACCCCACTGCACACGGGGCCTTTCTGCCGGAAGTCCCCACGTTGTCCTGCGCTCTGGCCATGTCAGCGCCCTGGGGGCTAAGATCTGCCAGGGGACCCAGCTCCAGGCCCTGCGGCAGACGCCCTGTCCCGTTCCTCCTCAGCAGGTGTGGGAGCTCCCAGCCACCGAGCCCCAAAGAGGGGGGGGGGAGGCAGCTGCATCCCAGGTGCACGTGGAGTCTGGCCCCTGGTTAACGTCTCCACGTCAGCATGGGGACCGGCCAGGCCCACAGTTTCACCTTTGCGCAGGGTTACCTGCCTGTACGTCATGCGGGTGGCGAGGGGGCATCAAACCCAGAAACGTCTGCTGGGAAATGTTTCTTCATCCTCCTCTCGTGTCTCCCCATCGCTCCGCTTGCCTAGAGGCTCGCGAAAACCAGCATCGATGCGATGCAAGAATGTGAACAGTTACTCACATTTGGTAACAGTGACTCTTAGAATCTGCACAGTTACTTCGGCAGCACCCGAGGCCAAGTTCAGGGGGCTCCAAACGGGCAGTCAGGGGCCACGCTGCCGTCAGGTAGGGCCTGTTTCCGCACCGGGTGGGAGCGTGAAAGAGCCTCGTGGCTCATGCGAGCCGGCCTCTGGAGCCACGGAGTAGAAATCAGAGCTCGTCCCCAAAGAATGCTTTCTCCCTGATCTGGCTGCTGCGTGGGGGGTGTTTCGATTTGGGGGTCAGCGCCAGGGTTCCCCGAGAGCAGCATCCGCTCTCCTGCGGAAGGCGTGCGGGAAGATGAGTGTGTTCCCACGGACTTCTTGTGGTCCAGTTCCCTCAAACTGGCACTGGTGTGAAGGAAGCTGTATTGTCTTCTTCTTTCAGATTAAAGGGTCCTGGTCAAATAAAAGAGGAAAAGAAAATTACAACCCCTACAGCTACGGAAACATCTTCACCAACTGCTGTGTGGCCCTATGTGGGCCCGTCTCGCCAAGGTGAGGTTCAGAAAGCAGGGTGCTCCTCACCAGTCTCCGGAAGACACACATCCTAGCACACACCCTAGCACACGCCATAGCACATGCCATAGCACACGCCTTAGCACACGCCATAGCACACGCCATAGCACACGCATTAGCACACGCCATAGCACACACCTTAGCACACACCATAGCACATGCCATAGCACACGCCATAGCACACACGTTAGCACACGCCATAGCACACGCCTTAGCTGAGGGAGCTCTGGCCCCATGGGGAGAGGTGTGGCTGCTGCGAGTGGATCAGGCCACACCGTCCGTTGGAACCACGGGCACAGCCTCAGGAAGCAGAGACCACAGACACCTGGCTGTTGTTGTGTTGCACTTGACACCATGGTTCTCCCAGTGTATCTGTGTCAAGTTTGGGGGAAATCCCTAAGGGTCAAATAGGGAAACTGAGGCAGGCGACCTCATGAATTGTTGTGCTTCAGTGGGGAGCAGGGACCCAGGACACCCTGCAGGAAGCAGTTAGGAAACCCGTGGAGATGAGTTAGGAGCTGAGTGTGTAGAATGTCAACGCCAGGATAGTCGGGAGGCGATTGTGTGCGGCCTGACCCCGTGGCGATTGTGGTGATGATACAACAATGATGTTAACAGCGGCAGGAGCCGTGTGCCCAGGATCGTGACAATGTGCTCATGAGAGGGGGTTATTTTCCTGTTTCCCAGCGACAGCTGCACAGCTGCAGCCCCACATTCAGCTCCTGCACAGAAAGAGGGGACACCCACCCCACCCCCACCCCGCCAAGCAGAAATAAACAGAGGTGCTGGCATCTTTGGCTTCCTCCTCACTCTCCTCCTCCTGTTCTGCTTTGTTCTCTCTTGCAGCCTCATCGACAGAAGAGGGTATGTCCAGCCCGACACGCCTCAGCCAGCTGCGCCCTCCAACGGGCTGGCCACGTACGGGGCCACCGCCTCGCAGAGCGACATGGTAGGGGCTGCCTGCAGGACGACACTCCGGGGAAGGCTTCTCTTCCGCCTCTGCTCACTAACCCCGTTACACCAGGTGCCCCTCGACCTGGGGCTCCTAGACCAGACGCCCCTTCACAGCTCCCCGGACACCAGGGCCTGGGAGGCTTGGGCGAGGGGAAGGGGGTGTGGCCGCCGAGGGACAGGTGTGTTAGGGGTTGAGAAGGGGAAGGACACACAAAATCTTCCAGAAACAGCTGTGGCACCTGGTGAAGGAAAGGCCCCTGCACAGGCCACGGTGTCACTGGGGACGGGACCAGCTGCCCTCAGCAGGGCTGGCTGGCTGGACGGTCCCCAGGCCCATCCTGTCCCTCTGCTCAGTCTGTTCTGACCCCACCCCCGTTAGTGTGCTGTGGGTGCGCTGCCAGTGCCCCACCTTCAGCCAGATCTTAGCCCCGCCACGCACACCTGGGTGGGAATACTCAGACCAGGCTCATTCTCACAGCGAAAGCTGAGGGGCCGTGCACAGAAAGGCGGCTCTGTTCCTGGGTGGCAGACTCAGGGCGGGGTGGAGGGATGGGGGGGGGGGGGAGTTTGCAGGCACCGGGAATCCCAGCCCAGCAGGCCCTGACCATCGGCCTTTAAGTCCCTTGGGCAGCGGTCCCTGCTTATCTGGAACAGATCCCTGAAGACGTCCGTGTTTCTGAAAGGAACCGGGCGTGGGGGCTCCTGGCACTGCTGCTCTCTGTGGCCCTGGGTCTCCACACAGAGCTCCTGATTAGCAGCCTTCGAGGCATGCGGCTCCCGGCCTGGCTTCTGAGCCAGGAACTGGAGGGAAAGCGCAGCCTCCCCGGGGCTCGGGGAGCCCGCTGGGCTGGGCCGTCGGCTGCGTTTGGACAGGCAGGGGGGCCCCAGCCCCGCAGCACTGCTGGGTTTGGTTGTTGGCAGTGGTGTTTCCTGTGTGTTATTTTGCTCTGCTTTGCTAATAATTCCTCTTCTTTGGAAGAAAGTTTGTATGCACCGGTCCTTGCCACTCTCCCCATGCGATCCCTGGACATTTCGTTCTGTCTGCACTCGCCCACACCAGTGGCCCTTACGGACGACACTGTCAGGGAGAAATGCTAAAACCTCAGGGGTCACTCTGCACCCGGATACAGCTCCGTCCTGGACCCGGAGGTCCAGCCATGTCAGGCGGGTGTAGCAACATCCTTCCAGTGCCGGCCTCAGGCTGCAAACCGGCCTGGCCTGGCCCCCCCAGAGCCGGGAAGGGGACTGCGTGTGTGAGGAGCCAGACGGTTGTCCCTTACTAGAAATGAACAAATGATTTTATTTTAGGACCAAAGTCCAGACCCGAAAGGTACTTCCTGGAGGACAGGCAAAGCGCTTCCAGGGAACAGTGCTGCGTTCGGAAGGAGAGGCACAGGCGTTAGGTCCTCGGTGAGCACAGTGACAGTGCGGGACAGAAACATTAGCCAAGTCTAATTAGGGAGCCTGGCATCCAGGCCAGCACTGAGGTCTTATTTATTTTCTAAAAAACAGGACGATTTTGACCATTTATTTTCTAAAAAACAGGACGATTCCCTGTTCACTTACAGTCTCAGTCTCAGCAGCCATCCCTCTGCGACAGAGTCCCGAGGAGGCAAGCCCAGGGCAGCACCCAGGTGCCTCCACAGGGTGGGAATGGGGCGTGGAGCCCAGGAGAGGCTCTGTCGGGTGAGCACCCGGGACCTCCGGGGACGCGGCTGGGATTAGGGCAGACCCCCTGTGCCGCCGGAGGGCCTGTTCCCCCTCCATTGGCTTTCACCGTCCCCCGTACTGACGTTCTGCGCGTGTGTACGCAGTGGTGACAGCACCCGTGGCCCAGCCCTTAGGGTATCCCATCTGATTGTCAGTTTCAGTTCCGTCCAGCACCTGGGTCCCAGTTGATGTTTAAACCTATCGTCAAATAATTTTTAGTTCTGAACAGCATCCAGGTCACCGTTTATGTTTCAATCTGGCCCTTGTAGCTTCAAAGTTCCTTTGGGATCACGTGCCAAACACAGAGATAGTCCCTTGCTGTTGGGATTTCTTTCTTGCTTTTTCAGAAGATCATCTGATATATTTGGTTAAGCTATTTTTTTAAATCCCCTTAATCCAATATCCAAACAAGGCTAGCCCTAGCTATGGAATGATTTACTCAGCTAGTCAATCAAGAGAACTCTCCGAGCATAATCTGAAAAATCAAATATTGTACAGCAGTGCAACGTAAGCAGAATTGAACGGTGACCTCACTTCTCTTCTGTCAGGTCTCAGCATCCGGGTGATTTTTGACCAAAAGAAATGGCAATTTCATATGGTTCAACCCTACCGTTGATAGAGAGGAACTTGTAAAGGGATTGTTTTGGAATGAAAACATGAGTTTCTCCATTTCCTGCTCAGAGTAATGAATTGTCATTGTCCAGTATCCTGGGGCTTGTTTTTCCCCAGGGACTATAACTGGCTAGATAAATTAAAATACTCCCAATGGCTTATGGGTGTTGGTGCTGCGATATAAATAACGCCTGCCCAGCTGGGTGACGGAGAGAAACAAGTGAGCAGTGATGGCTCCCTCTGCTGGATGAAGACCAGAAAAGCCAGGGAAAGGGGGTGGGTGAACATAAAAGATCAAGGTGAGAGGAGAGAGAGGTGGGAAGAGAAGAGAGAGAGAGTGGGCGGGAAATGGAGGAAAGGAAGCAGATGGAAGGGAAAGAAGAGAATCAGTGGGGCCAGAGAGAGCAGATAAGAATCAGAAGCAGAGATAGGAGGGATGGGGCGTCAGAACACCTTTCCATGGGCCGCTCCACCGGAACCCTGACGTGTTGGCCATTTTCCCCTCGAACTTTTCAAATGGGATTTACAACCATGAAGGTTGTACCACATGAGGAAAAGCTCGGACCTTAAAAAAAAAAAATCACATATTCCCTAATCATTGAGTTTCTTCCGAGAAGATGTTCAGAATGTGCACCATTGATATGATGAGGATCTAGAGCTGGGCGCACTGTGTGGGCAGAGGTGTTGGGGTGAATGAGGGCTGGGGGGGGGGGGGGAGGCGGAGAGCAGGGTTCCGTCCTCAGGATGGGGCCCGCCCTCTGCCTGGCATCTCAGCCCCGGGTCACGGAGGGGCCGGCCTGCTGGAAGGCAGGGCTGAGCTACAGGAAACGGATGCAGCACAGCAGCTCCGTCAGTCAAGAGACCGAAGAGTATTCTTTATAAAACAATCGGGGCAGGGCACAGTCTACCCAAGGCCCTGGGTGGTTCCCAGAGGCTGTTCGGTCTGGAGGCTGCCCTGGTCCGCCTCACCCTGACTAAGCTGAGCCGTCTGCCGACGGGAGTGGAAAGGGGTTTGCGGTCAGGCAACCCGGCCCCAGGCCCCGACCCCTCCCTTAGTTTCATCTGTGAGGCTCCGAGCACACCTCCATCCGCGCCTCGGGGTCTTCCTTGTAAAGAGGTTGGCCCAAGAGCTTCTGGAGACACGCAGTGGAGGCCCGGCTCACGGGGGAATGTAAAGCCACGTGTGCTCACCGGACATCCACGTGATGGGAGGACCTCTCTAACGAGCTTCTGCACAGAGTCAAGTGCAGGCTCGCCAGTCCCCACACTGCCATGGGCCAGGGCGGGGCTGACGAAGGAACCGGAGAGCCACACCCCACCGGCCACTCTCCTGTGGCCACTGAGTCACGTGAAAGAAGCGGCACGAGATGTGATATGATGTCAGAACACTCGGGAGAAGAGGAAATGCCTTATGAGATGTGGGCGTTCTCCCTCGCAGGTTAAAAAGCCACGTTAGCTCAATTAGTGGTTCTTGACTGAGGACAGGGTCCTAGGGCTCTTACCAGTTGTCCGATCGGACCTGCAGGAGCTTCTGCTGCCCGGCACTTTTCTTCCTTTTCTTCTTGGGGTAAAACAGACATTCTAGAAAGTTTATCATTTCACCCATGTTTGGGAGTGCCGTTCGGTGGCATTAAGCTCATGCACGTGATTGTGCTCTCAGCACCACTCATCTCCGGACCCTGTCCTCGTGCAGAGCCGCACCTGCAGACGTTAGCTCTGCCTCCGCGTCATTCCCTCGCCAACGGCATTCCGCTCTCTCTCTCTAGGAAGCCATGGCTCCGGGTGCCTCCCGGAGGTGGAGGCATACAGTGTTTGCCCCTCGGTGTCTGGCTTATTTCACTTCACACGATGCCCTCATGGTTCCTCTGAGTGGTAGTATGTATGAGAACGAATGGCCTTCCTTTTTTGGGTTTCATAAGATTCCATTGACTGTGTAAACCGTATTTTTTTTATTTTTTTTTTATTTTTTTATTTTTTTTAAATATATTTTATTGATTTTGTACAGAGAGGAAGGGAGAGAGATAGTCAGAAACATCAATGAGAGAGAGTCATCAATCAGCCGCCTCTTGCACACCCCCACTGGGGATATGCCTGCAACCAAGGTACATGCCCTTGACCGGAATCAAACCCGGGACCCCTCAGTCCCCAAGCCGACGCTCTATCCATTGAGCCAAACCGGTCCCGGCCCGTATTTTATTTATTCATTCATCAATCAGTGCACACTTGGGTTCCTTCCACCTTTTGATGGTTGTGAATAATGCTGCTATCAACATGGGGGTACAGGCCCCTGAATTTTTAAAAATATATATATATTTATTGATTTCAGAGAGAAAGGGAGCAGGAAAGAGAGAGAGAGAGAGAGAAACATCAAGGCTGAGAGAGAATCATTGATTAGTCGCCTCCTGCACGTCCCCTCCTGGGGATCAAGCCTGCAGCCTGGACATGTGCCTTGACCTGGAATTGAACCGTGACCTCCTGGTTTATAGGTCTGCACTCAACCACTGAGCAACACTGGCCAGGCCCCTCTCTTTTTAAAACAAGATAGTAAATGTAAGTTTTCAGCACAAAAGGAACAGCCACCAGACCGCAGCAGGTGGTAAAGCTCGTGACTCTGTTGGAGGGATTGTTTTTATTTATTTATTTAAATTAGATTTTTAAATTAAGTGTATTGGGATCGGGATTGGGCAAGATGGCCCCAGCTGATCCTGATGACTGGCCAGGCCAAGGGACCCCTCCCGGGCACGAATTCGTGAACCGGGCCTCCGTTTGGTTAATAAAATGATACAGGTTCCCCGTGGACAGTTCTGTGATGCATCGGTGGGATGGGTTGGAGTGGGGTCCGGTCTGTGAACCGGGGCCAGGAGCGTGGCAGGCCGAGGCCGCCCCCTGCTCCCCGGCCTCTGGGGACTGTGAGCTTGAGCAGCCTTCCCCGGTGCCGGGTGTTGGTGCTTACCACATGCCGGTGTCTCCAGGTGAAGCCGGGCTGCTGCGCACGCTCCCTGCCCTGCTGACTGAGGTGTCACTAACGGGTTTCTCTTTCTCTCGCATCCTGCCCTCCCCCCTCCCCCCTCTCCCCTTTCCTCCCCACCCTGCGCCCCCTCGTCTGGCCTTCTCTCTGCTGGCTCCCTCCTGCTCCAGTGCGACCAGGACCAGTGCATTCAGAGCACCAAATTCGTTTTGCAGGCCGCCGCCACGCCCCTGCTGCAGAGCGAGCCCAGCCTGGCCAGCGACGAGCTGCACCTGCCGGGGAAGCCGGGCCTGGGCACGCCCTGCGCCAGCCTGACGCTCGGGCAGCCCACGCCGCCCTCCTCCATGCCCAACCTCGCCGCGGAGGCCGGGCTCACGGACATCCTGCCCCTGAAGGAGGAGCACGTGGGCCACCAGTTCCTGACGCCCGAGGAGGCGCCCTCGCCGCCCCGGCTGCTGGCCGGCAGCCCCCTGGCGCACAGCCGCACGGCGCACGTGCTGGGCCTGGCCAGCCAGGACGCGCTGCACGAGGACTCGGTGCGCGGCCTGGTGAAGCTGAGCTCCGTGTGACCGGCCCGGCCGGCCTGCGGGCCGCGGGGGCCACACAGGGCTGCTCCCGCTCCACTTTCTCTGACTCAGGGCCGTGGCGGCCAGGCCTTCGGGCCCTGGGCACGGACCGGCCGCAGAGCGCCTGGACCCCTCTCCCGGCTCAGGCAGCTGGGCCGGGTGCTGCCAGCGTGGTGCAGTGGGCATCTGCTCCCAGCCGGACCGCTTTGATGGCAGAGGAAACGGGGCCGTTGCTTTTGTCAGGCCTTTGGAATAGGAAGGGGTGGGCGTGGGGGCGGGGAACCTGGGGTCTGTGGTCAGAGGCTCAGGGGACAGGACATGCCCGGGTGTCCGTCACACCGTCTGCTGCCGCTCCCGGGACGGACACACGGAAGGCTTGGGAGCCTGGTGACCGGACTGGAATTGCACTTGGTTATGCTACTAATCTTTGACATAGACATGCCGTTCCATTTGTTAGGTTCTTTTAAAAAAAAAAAAATGTCCAAAGGACGAAACATGACCAGATGTGAGCCTGCATGCCACGCGCGTCCCTTCACGGTGGGGACGGTCTGCAAACGGAAGCTGCCTTCTTCCTTTCGTGTTGTGAATTTTCAAGCGCTGCTTTAGGGGAAGATGGTGGGAGAGAAACCAAGACTAACGGACAGTGCCATCCGCCGCCGGCTTCTTCAGCTTGTTGTACCCGGGTAGGTGGTGCCTGGGCCGCAGAGGACTGCGGGGGGCATCGGTGACCCTTCTGTTCAGTGGTTACCGAGGCGTTGTGTTGTTCCACGCCCTCCACACCTCCGTGTGACCAGACTCCTGTGGACAGCCAATAAATGACGCCCTCTCTTGTTTTGGATCTGCGTGAAGTTATCCTTAACAGTAAATGACAAGTGATCCCATGGCTGTGGTGAGTTTGTTGTTATCAAAATATCCTTAGTGAGGAATGGTCCCCAAAGGGCCAAAAATCAAGCCGTTGAATTGTGGGGTATGTGAGAGAGCAGCTTGTCATTTTTTTTAATATATATTTTTATTGACTTCAAAGTTGGATGATGAGAAGGAATCGTGGGTCGGCTGCCTCCTGCACACCCCTTACTGGGAATCGAGCCCACAACCCGGGCATGTGCATTTGTCTGGAATCGAATCCGGGTCCTTTTCAGTCCATAGGCTGACGCTCTACCCACTGAGCCAAACCAGCTAGGGCTTCCTGTCGTTTTTCTTTTCTTTCATCGTCTCATTTGACATGGTTTTAGCGAAACACGCCCTGAGCTCGCAGATTGTCCTGCGGCAGTTTATACCTGCAGCCGTGGGGGAGCGGCGAGGGCACAGCATGTGCCAGCCTCCTTTGCCGCCGCCTCCTGCCAGTGCAGCCCGGCGCTCAGACGGGGAACCCGCCATCCTCCTACAGGCATCACATTCAGGAGGTGACACCGGCTTCCGGGGTGGGCTGAGAGCATGTAGATCATCTTTCTTCCCCAGACACTAAGCAGAATGGGATTAGGAAAAGTACACGCCAGCCTGGCCAGTTTGGCTCAGTGGATAGAGCCTCGGTCTGCGGACTGAAAGGTCCCAGGTTCAATTCTGGTCAAGGGCATGTACCTTAGTTGCGGGCACATCCCCAGTGGGGACTGTGCAGGAAGCACTTATGGATGTTTCTAACTTTTTATCCTTCTCCCTTCCTCTCTGTAGAAAATCAATAAAATATATATTTTTTAAAATAATTTAAAAAAAAAAAAAGTACACTCCAGTCACCCCCATTTCTCCTCTGGCTTTGGACTTCGGGAGGAAGTCAGTTCGGGGGCAGCCACGGGGACTGTGCCTGCTTCTCCTCCGGTGGCAAATCCCACAGCCAGACCGACTCCGGCTGCACATCCTCCACCACATGGAAGGCCCGGCATTGGTCAGTGATGCGGGAGGTCCCAGAAGGTTTGAATTCGTGGGAAAAGGCTGTTTTATCTGAGAAAGAGCTGCCATTTTACATAAAAAGGAAAAAAAAAGAATAAAAGACGAAAAGCACAATGTCAGGTCTCATCTGGGGTAAGGCCAATTCTTTGTAGGTCAAAAACGGTGCTGAAAATAACCAGAGTTCTTGGGTGCTGGTATCTTTGAACCATTCCTATGTTTCCTACTGTATGTGTGAATAGAAAATGTGTAAGGTAAATTATGCGTAGCCATTGTTTGTTTTTAATTTTGTTATGATTTCGGAGAGAGAGAAAGGGAGAGAAAAATATCAATGTGTTGCTCCACCCAACCATGCACTCACTGATTGATCGTTGTATGTGCCCTGACTGGGGATGGAACCCACAACCTTGATATATTGGGACGTTACTCCAGCCAACTGAGCTATGTAGCCAGGGTGGCATTGCTTATTTTCTGGGCCTCCTAATTACTTGTACACACTTGGAATTTAGAATAAGGGGGACAGCGTCCCCTCCTTAATCAACCACTTACGGCCATTGATGCACAGAGGCTCTCCTGCACGCACTGCCTGTGAGCAAAAACCACAGCCACTGCCTGCCTTCCACCCGCGCCCCCTCTGTGCTCTTCACCGCCTTCCATCTGCTCCCCGGAGAGTGGGAGAGAGCGGGGCCTGGAGAAAGCGGTGATGCTGTCTCCCTCTGGTACCTGTGTGGCCCGTCTGTTCCCAGCTTCTGTGTCTGGAACACAGAGATGTCTTTGGGGTCCTCTCATTATGTCCTAATTCAGTGTTTTCTGATTTCCCATAGCCAGCCCTGCTTTCCATCTCATTCTGGAAAAAAAAAAAAAAAAAAAAAAAAAAAAAAAAAAACAAGCAAGGACCATTCTTGACATGATGAACGTTTACTTAATATTTCCTGTCAGTTTTCCATCCCAGCTGTACCTCATCCCTGGCACCCACATCATTTTCAAAGGGGATTAGGAAGCCTGGTGAGATGAATCAGGTCTGTTCAGGGTCCAAGAGGGAGATGAACTTAATGAGCCCATTTGCTAAGACAGTTGGCTTCCTAGAACCCCAAACCAGAGGGGTGCCCAGCGCCTCTGGCCTGGGAAGCACGGAGGGGCCTCCGCAGGAGCCGCGTGCTCCGGGAGCTCCCTCCTCCCTCCTCGGGTCCGAGATGGTCTCGGCACAGGGCCTCCTGGCGGGAGCTTGCCTCTCCGGTACCCGATCCGCCTTTTTAAACGTTGAGTGGTTGCCTCTAGCTGTGGCTGAGTAGACGGTGGTGGTCCTCAGTCCTGTCAGTGCATCACAGATGGATTGCATGCTGGCTCAGAAAGAAAAAAAGGAGATAAATATTTCACCGTGCTGTTAGAGCTTGGACCATTATCAAACACCCATCCACATCCACGCTCTTTCTCCTGTTTAAAAATTCATGCTTCTGTTCACCCAGAAGTGCTCTGAGCACGCAGGCTTCCCGGGCACCCAAGGCTGATTTAGCCGAAAGCCCTGCTCTCCTCGGACGGACGCTGCAGGGAGCCGACAGCCTGGTCTGCGAGGGCGCCATGACGTGTCACCCTGCGCCTGGGAGAGCTGGCCCAGCTCGGGTGCGAGTGTGTGTGTGTGTGTGTGGGGGCTGTTCCCACTTGGAAAATGCTCATCTCAGCTTTTATTTTTATTTTTTTATTTTTATTTTTTTAAGTTACAAAATTTTTATTAAAACTTTCATCTCAGCTTTTAAATGGAACTGTCAGCCTGTGAGAATCACGGCATATGTCCACCCTGTGCCAGCAAAATACCAGATACCTGTTCTGGTCCAGCAGGGCACCCAGGAACAGACTTGGCGGGTGCTTCTCAGGGCTCTGCCCACCCCTCTGGGCATGGCAGTCTTCGCCTGTCGTGTTTAGGACACTGACTGGGGTTCAGTATCTAAGACACAGTGAACCCCATTTTGCGAGCCATGTTCCTGCTCACCCCTGAGTGGCCTTGAAAGCCCCTTAACTCCTTCTCTTATGCCGTTTACCGGAGGCCGGCGCATGAAATTCGTGCGAGAATAAGCCTCCCTTCCCCGGCTGCCGCACAGGCTTCCCCTGGCACTGGGACCGGGCTTCCCCCGCGGCCCCGGCTTCGTCCGGAAGGTCATCCGGAAGGTCATCCGCAGTCTAATTAGCATATCCCACTTTTCTTATTAGAGATTGATTTTTGGAGAGAGAAGCTTTGATTTGTTTCTCCACCCACCTCTGCATTCATTAGTGGATTCCTGCCAGCCCCCTCAGCTCTTCATGGCCCGGGCCCGGGCCTGGCCCCATCTGATTCAACAGCAAGCCAAATGGATGTGCCAAGCGTCTCCTTGGCACAGGAGTTTGCGGTGGCATCTCCAGGGAAACTCTGGAGCCCAAGCCACGTGGGGCCCGCCTCTCAGTGGCTGCTGAGGTTCTGAAGGGCGAGGCCTGACTGGCTCCGCACCCGGCAGACGGGCTCTGTAACCGGGCTGGCCCCCTCCACCCACAAACCGTCTCCACCAACCAGACCCGGCGCCACCAGCCTGGCTCCGGCTTCTGCGTTCAGCCAGGAGGGTCCAGGGTTCTCATGAATGGTGTTAGGAGCGTTTCCAGAGCCAGCTGCCCTTCATTCCTGCCGTGAGTGCACTGTTCCGCCCATTGGGTGCTCGATCAGGTAAGAGAAGAGAATAAGGAAACGGACGTTAAATATTGTATAATTTCCCGATGAATGCCGTAAAGCTGTTTCAAGCGGAGCCTAAATCAAGTTGATGTTCACAATTTCTCTTGAGTACCTATGTGTTGTGGGAGTCTAGCCTAGGGGTGTCGAACTCAATCAGAGAAGGGGCCAAAATCTAAAATCCAGCCTAAATCGCGGGCCGAATGGTTTACTGAACAGTCATAAACTGTCATTGTGATGGAAACGCAGCAGAGTGCAGTGATGACAGCGCGGTGCGGGCCACATTGCAAGGCCTGGCGGGACGGATTTGGCCCGCGGGCCTTGTGTTTGACACATGTGGTCTAGCCAGTCCTTATCCGAATGAGAGGGCCTTCCTGTGGATTCTTACTCCTCTGGTCCCTCCACGGCCCTGAGGGTCTGCATGGCATTGCGTGCGGCTTCCATGTTTGCTCACGAAAAACTGCCTCTCAGCTCTTCCCTGGCAATGCATCTCTCTGTCTTATATGAATAAGTTATTGCAGTATTAAATATTAAGAAGCATTGTTTTCTTTCAAATAAAGGTCAAAGATGCTAACAGGTTTTTTAAAAAAATAAATCAGCAAATCCTCTGCCTGCGTGCCTGTCGCACGCAATCCCGATAATGCAGCCAAGACGGATTTTAAATGTGAGTGGCTAGGACAATGATCCGGACTCTGGAGATAATTGGGAGCCTCAAGATGAGATTGCTCCTGGAGCAACTGAGTTTGCAGCTGCATGAGAGTAGATAAATGGCCTCCACTGGCATTGTTTTTCCAACCTTATCAGCCCCAACAATTAGCTACGAGTGCCCCGGTGAGCAGGTGCGCATCCTGCGCCCTGCAGAGGCTTTTCTGCCACAGGTTGTTGGCGTTTGGAAATGTGTGAGGTCGGACGGATGAAGAGGAATGAGCGACCACTTAATTCTCTGGATGCTGTAAAGTGGGTAGATCCACCAACAGGCCGTTCAGCATATACAGGGAAACGTGTTTTCTAGTTCTGTATGAATGGAGATCATTTTTTTTTCTTTATTGATTAAGGTATTACATATGTGTTCTTATTCCCCCATCGCCTCCCATCCCCCTCCCCCCCCACACTCATGCCCTCACTCCCCTGGTGTCTGTGTCCATTGCTTAGGTTTTTATGCATGCATACAAGTCCTTTGTTTGATCTCTCCCCCTTAATCCCCACCCTCCCCTACCTTCCCTCTGAGGTTTGACAATCTGATCGATGCTTCTCTGTCTCTGGAT